CCCCAGTCAGCTGTCACTGTGAATTTTATGCTTTTTTGGTAAAAAATAAAGCAAAGGCTTTGTTCTTTCACAGGATGCTGCTGCAAATTCTTACCACAGCCAAAATAACAACAAATCTCTCTTTGCAAAGCACTGCTTCCTTAATTCTACACATCAACTCATCCAAATTTGTTGGGACATGGGGACAAGCATTGTACAAATTTTCAAATTAAATAATAACTTCAGTCTCCCTAAACAAACCTTCAGTAAACGAACTTCCTGTTTCACTGCCCTTAACAGGGACTGAGAAAATGAAAAAAATTATTGGCCAATTACAAAGCAAATCATGTGATTTTCTGGACATGACCTCAGGAAGACCTGAAAGGCTTAAGATAGTATTTCCTTTTTTTGCAAATTCAGCTGCTAAATCCACAGAGATCTGTACAAATTTGAAAATAAGCTCTTTTTTGGTCATCAGGCTTTTTGTAGAGATGGCATATGCACATGAAATTTCCTGAAATCCTCGTGTTTTCATGTTAACTTCTGTTTAATACAAATGGACCCAAGACGTTTCTGCTGAAGCTCTGATTGGAAATAACCAAGGAGGGAAGCCCGGAGTGTGGACACCTGAATTCCCAGCATATTATGGCTCAGACACTAAAATAGGAAGTGGTGAGTTTTTCTGGCATAGCTGAAAATCCAGTATGTCTTATATAATAGACTTCAGTTGCTCCTTAATCACATAATTATTACTATTATCATCATTGTTTTCATTATTTACTCTATTCAAACTGGATTTCTTACCAACTCCAACCAACTGAATAAAGGAAATGGTGAAATCCTCCTCAGTCTGGCGCACCAGTGTCTCTATGGTCAGCCCTATGACACTCAGTAGGGACAAAATAGTGACAAAGAAGTAGATCTTCACAGGGAATGAGAGCTCTGAACATGGTTTTATCTGTAAAGGGAGAAAATTCTTTAACACATCCTGCAGAATAAATTTGTTGCTGTTCCTAAAAATTACATTGGGGCAAGTGGGGTAAATGAGGCAGTGCAGGGTTTCCTTTGGGAAGAGAAACTCCACAACTGGAATGAATCTCCCAAACTGCTGAGGAAGGGAGAAGTCTAACTTTATTTCATAATTAATCTCAGCCTAGATTGTCACAGTTTATACCCACAGCCCTTGTGCCTCACAAGACCATGGTATTATATTCCATAACATGGAGATTGCCAATGCCCACATATACATATATCAGAGCATGGAAATAACATTTTCCCACTCTTTTAATTCGAGGAAACTGTAAAGACAGGGCCAGCGTTCTCAGTAAGGCTAAGTCCTATTTTCTTATATTAAAATACTTCAGGTGGAGCAACATCCTCACAGGAATTTAACACTTGCTTTGTTCAGCTGGAGGAGACTGAGGGGGACCTCAGGGTCTGCAGCTCCTCCTGAGGGACAGCTCCGATCTCTGCTCTGGGACAGGACCCTGGGAACAGCTGGAGCTGTGCCAGGGCAGGTTTAGGTTGGATATTGGGAAAGGTTCTTTTCCTAGAGGGTGCTGGGCACTGCCCAGGCTCCCCAGGGAATGGGCTCAGCCCCAAGAGCTCCAGGAGCTGTCAGGGATGCCCAGGGTAGGGTTTTCGGGTGTCTGTGCAGGGCCTGGATCAATGACCCTGAGGGTCCCCTCCAGCTCAGGACACTCCACGACGCTGTCAGCAGAGCTGTGATAAGCCTCGGCGCGCGGACACCTGACTCCCTGATCCACCTGACTTCGGACGCGGATTCGAGCCGTGTTTTTACATCCACCCCCCGGGCAGAGAAAAGCGGAAGACACCGGCAAGCTACCGCAGCAGCAGAGATGTACTCACGGGGCCGCAGGGCGTGGGGATGAGCTGCCGGTGCCGCGGGGTGAGATTGGGTAGGCTGGGCCCCGCCGGAGCCGCGGCGCCGCTGTGGGAGAGAGAGCGGGGCCGTCAGGGGGTCCGTACCACCCCCACAGCGGAGGAGAACCGCCCGCGAACCCCCACTCCCAGCACAGGCGCCTCCAGGCGAGGCGCGGGGAAAGCGCAGGGAGGCGCCCCCGTGCCGCCCGTGGTGTGGTGTGGCCTGGCCCGGCCGTACCTGCCATCCATGGCGGCGGCCGCACGTCGCGTCCCGTCCTGGCGGCGGGTCCTACATAGCTGCGGAGGGGTCCCGGCGGCGCTTCCGGGGGCCGGCCCGCTTAGCGTCACTTCCCCGGCACGGCTGGGGAGCGCCGCTTGCGATCCTCCCGGGCGGCGGGGCCGTCGCGCTCCCGCCCCTCCGCCCTGGGAGTCCCCTCGGCGCTGGGCATCCCACCCAGCTGGATGGAGGGGAGGCCCGCAGCGAAGCGCTCTGCGCGGTTCTACCCGGATGTGCGTGCCCTGTAACCCCCTTCTACTTTGCGTGGTTTCCTCGTGGTTTTTGGTAAAATGGCCTCCCCGCCGCTGCGGTGACAAAGGGGCGAGCCCGGCGCTCGGCTCCGGTGTGCCCGGCCAGCTCCCGGGGCCCGGCGGGGGAGTGCGCGGCCGGACCCGCCACTTCAGCTCCGGCCACGGCAGGGGATGGGCAGCCGCTGCCCGGTGGTACCGGAGCCCGGTGCTACCGCAGCCTGGTGGTACCGGAGCCGTGCGGCAGCAACGAATGCAGGTGGCGGCCGGGATGCGCTGAGGGCTGCAGGGATGGAGGGAGGGAAGAAGGGAGGGTTGGGAGCGGCGAGCGGTGCCGCAGAGGACAATCCCGGGCCGGGCCCGGGCAGGGGAAAGCCGGTGCTGAAAAGCCCCTGGGCCCGCAAGCTGGGTCGGAAGGGGCGGGGTGCTCCCGGGGAGGGCTCCGAACCCCGCTCAGGTGCGGGGATGCTCCGGGAGCTGCGGGCACCGGGACACGGGCGGGAATGGGAATGGGAATGGGCTGTGGGGAGCTGGGGGGGAATGCGGAGGGAAGGCTCTGGCAGTGGGTGAAGCAGAAGCACAGCTGGAGTGCCACGAAGTGCTAAGTTGTTTCAGCCTTTCTGCGTCTTCTGCTGTTGTATTTATGGTGTTTGTAACATCTTAGATGCTCTCGTTGCCATTAGCCAAGCAGTGTTAATGAGTGACGCTTGCTCAGGGTACTGAATTTTGTGCATTTGCTGCGTTGGGGACAATGTTTGAGTGACCTTTTGCATAATGGATGAAGGGTCATGGACACAACCCTTTGTTTTTTCACTGTCAGATCAACCTTAGCTTATCAAACCCTTACAATATATTTGAACTTTCGTTTCTATTTGTGGAAAGTCGACTTTCTAAAGGTCTTTGTGGATATTTTTTTCACCCTAATATATTGTTACTGGGAGTGTAGTTAAGGGTTGGAGAAGGTACAAGGAATCTAAGAGGCACTCAGCTGCTGGTTCTTTTGAGCTGGAAGATTGAGTCTTTGCATGTAATCCAAGAGAAACAACTGCCAACCACTGCCACGTTTTCATCTGTTGGTAAACATCAGCTGCCGGTTGGCCTTGAGGGAGGAAGACTGAATTAGTTCCAGATGGAGAACTCTTTCAGCCCATTTAGACTTTCCAGTTGATTTAAGCCAGCAGGTCAGTAATTTAGGGGAGTAGTTTTATTCTTATTTGCTGTTCTGCTTCCTGCTGTGTGTGGAATCAGTGATATCAAATCTGATATCTCAGAGGGTGGGGCTTTGGTTGTGCTTAATTTGCTTTGGTTTTAATTAAGTTGTATAAACAGAAAAGATATTTTAAAGCTGTGATAATTAACTATTTTGAATGTAGAGGGGTATTTTTTTAATGACCTGGAAAAGGAGGAGTAAAGAATCCATTTTTCCTAACAAATTCTCTAGGAGAATGTGTATCTTTTTTTCAAAGTCTTGTATTAAACTGGATTACCACAAGTTCATGGTTTAATGTGATTGTGTCAGAGGGTCCCATATTTCAGTGTGCTGTTGGCATGAATTCCTGAAAAAATGTGAAGAGATAAGGGCACGCGGATGGAAATCTTCAGTGCATGGCTGTGGTAACTAGAGAATGTGAGGAATGGAAAATTTCACTGTGAAGTAGCTGCTGTGTAGGATACTGACATGAGATCTTTAACTCCTCAGTGCCTCTTTCTGATTTATTTGAGATGCCACACTGGACATTTAAAAAGCATTAAAAATAAAATCTAAAAAAAAAGAAAATAGAGTGAACTGCTCACAAAGTCGGGGCAGGTGCAGTAGCTCTTGTCACAGCTCTTGGATTTCTCTTGCCATTGATTATGAGAGGAGTAAAGACCACAGGGTGGTTTTGTTGTTGTCTCTGCTACTGTAACTTGCCACATTTTGTGTAATTTGTAAAAGAAAAGAGCTCTGTTTGGAAATCATTTAATGCCTTTTGTTGCCAAGTCTGTTAGAAAGGCTTTAAGAATTGCAGGTGCTAATACTGACTGTCATGGTATAGCAAAAGGAGGAAGATTGCGTTATGCCCATGTAATTAAACAGATGACCACTCTGGAAAGCTCTTGGACGTGTTTCCCTACCTTTTTTACCTGGATACATTTACCAGGGTTGCTCTGTGATTACTGGGAGTTACAGCTTTTGATTATCAATCTCTCTGACTCAGGTTGATAACAGGTTAATTAGTACTAAGGGCAGAGGTTCCTGCTTGGATTTGCTGGGTTGGAAAGATTTTTCTGGGGAGTGTTTAAAGACAGACTGAGGTCAAAAACACTGCAAAGTCTGGAAGAGGAGTTAGTTATAATTTGAAAGGCTGTGTTGAGGTGCTCCGGAGGAAAAAGGGCGTAAAAACACAAAGTCTGGAGGGTGGGTGTTATTTTAGAATAAAAAACCTCCCTAAGATAAGTTCTTGTTGCTTAATCTTGGCACGAAGACATCAGGAGTTCAAAATCCAGTCTGAAGGATTACAGAAGTGTCTTTATCTTTCATAAAGTTCAGGTGAAATGTGCTATCTTTGCTGCATTAGAGATGTAAAACGTCACACATGTTTCTTCTTTCCCTTTTTTTCCCTTTTAGGCAGCAAACATGGAGCAGCCCACATGAAGAAGCATGTGGAGTTTATATTCCTGCAATATGTTCTTTGGAGGACCAATTTTCCAGGTCCCTGGGAGATGAAGCATTAACCACATGACATTTTTGTTTCAACAAGTGCTGTGTCAGTGTTGCTTTGTGTGAAGTACAGATATTCATTTCCTCACCTCACCATGTCGGCTGCGACAAGTGCCCTGACTCCGGCAACCCTAAGTCCTCCCCAGCTGGAGGAGAAGCCAAAGGGAAAATCCCTGTTCCAGCTGGGCTCACTCTTTGCTAACAGGAGTGAGAAATTTGTGATTGCTCGCAGTGACAGTTTGCCAGAGGAGAATGTCCTGAAAATCACAATCACAGAGACCACAGTCATCGAATCCGACCTGGGCATCTGGAATTCTCATGCTCTCATCTACCTCACTTTGTGGTTTTTCTTCAGCTTTTGCACTCTGTTCCTTAACAAATACATTCTGTCCTTGCTGGAGGGAGAGCCCAGCATGCTCGGTACCCTGCTTTTCCTGAATTCCAGGGAGAGATTTATTTATTTTACTGGAACAGGAGCACCAGAGGCTGCCAGAACTCCCGAAGCATTTGGATAATGCTGCCAGGCCCAGAGTGGGGTTGTTGGGGTGTCTGTGCAGGGATAAGAGTTGGGCTGGATGATCCCTGTGGGTCCCTTCTAAGTCAAGATATGATTCTATGATTGATAATCCCAGATCATCCCATATAAAGCTGAGGGAGAGAATGGTTCAATTGAAGTGAAAAATGCTTAGTTTGGGAGATGTGGAGAGGGATCTTGAGGCTGGGAACTTGGGATTTTGGCCTTTAAAGTGGTTTCTGACACTGTCCTTTCCTCCACTTGCTGAAAGATTAAATTTTGCTTGTAGAGGAGCTTGAAGAGGGAGAAAAAAAAAGTAATTTTTTTTGTTTTCTGTGTTGGAGGGTTTAACAAAAAGTCATATTTTGAGTCAGTTGTTGATGCTCTCCAGAGCTGTGCAGTGCCAAGAGTTGCCTTTGGTGATCTTTGTTATCCAGTGGCCATTTTAGTTCTTTTTTTTCTTCTTAAGGGGCAAACAAAGGGCAGTTTATCTGTGAACCAGGTTTTTAAACATTTGCTTTATTGTGCTACCTTGTTTAGATGTAGAAGCAAAGGGCTTTTGTGAGAATATATAAAATATACACAGTTATTTCTTAACTGCCAAAAATACTGCATAGATGCTAATTTCAGAAATTTTCTCATGAAAATTGATTTGTTGTGTTCCAGCTTCTGATCTGACTTCATTTCTGTTCTCTGATCCTCCTTTAGGTGCTGTTCAAATGCTTTCCACCACCTTCATTGGCTGCATCAAGATGTTTGTTCCATGCTGTCTGTACCAGCACAAAACCCGCATCTCCTATCCCCCCAATTTCATCATGATCATGCTCTTTGTGGGATTAATGAGGTAAATGGGAAAGATATCCTGCAGTATCTTTGCTAATATTTGTGGTTTTCCAAACCAAATCTGTGTTTTTATGTCTCTCTGCTTTGATAAGGTGTTTTGAGTATTCACCTTTTCCCCCGCAAGAAATATCCCAGGATAATCTTATTTTTATTTGCTGTTGTTCCTTTTCCCAGATGTCAAGATTTTTGCCTTCCCATTACATTTTCATTTTTTCAGAGTTCACTTCTCTTTCCATTTACTCTCTTCCTGCTCTTTTTGAGGCTGATGTTTGTTTAGTGCATTAATATTTACCAGCCTTTTGCTTCAAAAGTGTTCCAGGCTATTAAAATTTATCTTTTGAAAAGTAAATATTTGCTGCGCACTAGGATAGTATCAGTTTGTGGTCGAGGAGGGAACAAAAATGCCTGGTTTTGTTTCCTCTACCCTGCAAAACTGATAAAGAAAATCAAATAAGAGATAAATTCAATTAATTTCAGAGTTTAAACTGTGGTAATTGTGTAGCATATCTAATTTATACTAAAGATAATTGCAGATAAATTTTCCTCAGTGAATTACTGTTTCTCAGAAGATTTTCACTTTTCTAACTGGGCCTGTTGAAAACTTTGGCTTAAAAAATGATCACTTGAACCTTGGAGTGTGCTAAAAAGTAAATTTGTTTTCTGGAAATCCACTCTGCAGCCAAAGACATTCCACAATTGCCCAAGGGTGCCTTTATTTGCTTTAAATAATGTTTAAGCCAGAGCTGAAAGAAATAGATCTGGCCTTGGAGTTGCAGGAGAAATCACAGTGCAATTATTTTTATGCTGCATGTTTAAGAGTAGCTCACGAAGCATTATTTTAATTTCTTCTGGTGCACTAATTCCTTTTTTTTTTTTATTAATTTCTTGTGATTTTCTTTTGCTGCAGATTTGCAACAGTGGTCCTGGGCCTGGTCAGCCTGAAGAATGTGGCAGTTTCATTTGCAGAAACTGTGAAAAGCTCTGCTCCTATTTTCACTGTCATCATGTCCCGGATGATTTTGGGGGAATACACTGGTGACTCTTGAAATGAGATTTAATTACTCTCTATTCAAGGTCAAAGAATGACCACTGAAATATAATAAATGCAGCTGAAGAATCAGTCTGAACACACTGAGTTTGTAGAATTAAAAGAGTTTGGTGTGAGGGGATTGTTATTTTTTTGTCAAGGAATCATAGTGGCTTTAAATAACTGAAGTTCAGTGTGGTCCTGTTTTCTTGCTGTTCAGAATTTCAAATTCTTTCAAAATTCAGAGTGGGATACATTAAAAATGCAGCAATGAAACTGAGATTGGCCCTTTTCTTCTGCAGGATTGCCGGTGAATCTCTCTCTGATCCCTGTGATGGGAGGGCTGGCTCTGTGCACTGCCACTGAAATCAGCTTCAACATCCTGGGCTTCTCTGCAGCTCTGTCCACCAACATCATGGACTGGTGAGGCACCAGGAGAGCTCTGGTGGTGGAAAAAAGCAATTAATTTTATTAGGAGACGGAAGAAAATTGTTTAACATATTTAATTCTGTATAGTGCATTGAAATGTTGGTATTGAAAATGTATTTTTAACAAATTACTCACTTTCATATCTAACAGCATTATTGAGATTAAATAATAAAACTTCATTAGACCAAACTCCTTTCTGTACTTGTAGAAAATACTTATCCACCTGAGGATTGACTGACTGATTGAATTGTCCTAGCTAAAACACAGCTAAATGGTGGTTTTAATTTTTTTTTAATTTTTCTTCTCTAGTTTGCAAAATGTCTTTTCCAAAAAACTACTCAGTGGAGATAAATACAGATTTTCGTAAGTATTCAAAACATTTCAGGCTTGATTATATTAAAGCTGCATAAAGAAACTAAATATTTATCATTATGTTGCACCAGAAGGTGTAAATCTGATCACCTCTATCATTTTATCAGGGCAAGAAAATTCCCCTGAGCTCCCTACTGCAAGTTTCATAATCAGCTACAACGCCCAGAAATAAAAAGTTTAAAATATAACTATTTCTATAAATATTTTTCTGTAGTTATGTATGTCTTTCATAATAGTTTATAAAATACTTATTTAATATATTTTATACATATAAATAAATATATATAAATAAAAATAAATAAGTAAATAATAATATATAAATTATATATATAAACTTATATATATAAATAATAAATATAAATAAACCCCCTAAAAATACTATTTTCACAGCAATCAGTCCTTACTCTGCAGTCAGGAACCATCCTTAACACTGGGTGCAGAAAGCAACTTTTTAACTCTGAAACTTAAACCAAGAGTAAAGTCTTGTGTTGAAAAGTACCTTTAATAATATATTTGTATTTTACCATGAGATAAAAAACTACTTTTGGTGTTTTGTGCCTTTTACTTCAGTCCCTGACAGCAAATCTCTCTTTTCTTTTAAAAAGGAAGTTTTAAATAAATTTTTTTTCTTCTTTGTAGAGCCCCAGAGCTTCAATTCTACACAAGTGCTGCTGCTGTGATTATGCTTATTCCAGCTTGGATATTTTTCATGGTAATTTGAATTTATTATTTTAATGAATTTAAGCTTGTTTTTTAGTGAATTTAGGTTTGGGGGTTTTTTTAATTGTAAGCAGAACGTGCAACAAAGGTTAATCTTAAATTTTACCTTTTATCCTTCCAATTTTTTAAAATCAGCCTGAAATATAATTCATCCAATGTTTGCAAGAGATTGGGGGAGCAAAAAAGAGAAAATGGTAAAAGAAATAATTTAATATAGACGTGAGTTAATCCAAAAAGCCTGAGTTTATCTCAGGATTTTTCAGTTAAAATAATGATTTTATCTCAGTGCATTTGTGGTTTCAGATAAAGACTTGCAAACAAAATATGGAACATTTGTTGACTTTTGTTGAAATTCATGTGATATACAGGAATATTAACTCTCTGAAAGCAAATTGTTTTTGAGAAAAAATTACAAGATCTAAATGTCTTGTATGTTTTAGGTTTTGTTGGGCTAAAATTTAAATGTAAAATTCTATCTGCTTCTAACAGTTGGTGAAAAATCACTTGGATTTTTCTTATATTCCTTTTATTCCTTTTTTTTTTTTTTTTATTTAGGACGTCCCTGTGATTGGGAAAAGCGGGAGGAGCTTCAGCTACAACCAGGATATTGTCATTCTCCTCCTGATAGATGGAGTCCTCTTCCACCTGCAGAGTGTCACAGCCTATGCCTTGATGGGGAAAATTTCTCCTGTGACTTTCAGGTAAAATTATCAGGAGCATTATTTTCTATTTTTTGGTCAGGACCACTATTGTAGAATATTTTGTATCAGGAACACTATTTTTTCATTTTTGTCACAAACACTTTTTTTCTATTTTTTTGGTCAGGAACACTATTTTATACCCTTTTGTCAGAAACACAATTTTATATTCCTTTTAGGAACAGTATTTTATAATTTTTTTTTTTGTTCAGAAACACCATTTTATAATTTTTTGGTCAAGAACACTATTTTGCATTTTTTGGCAGGAACATTATTTTCTATTCTTTTTTTACCTGCTCAGTATTTCTGCTTGAGACCCAGGCAGTAAAAGTAGTGTGCAAAGAGGTGAATGAGGAAAATCACGGGATGGTTGGGGCTGGAAGTGGAATTTGAGGTGTCATTTGAAAAAAGGAAAACTAAAGGTATTGTGCAAAGACATGAATGAGGTAAATCATAGGATGGCTGGGGCTGGAAGTGGTGGCTAGAAAAAAAGGAAAATTAAAGGTATTTTGGAAAGAGATGAAGAAGTGAAATTCCAGGATGGTGGGGGTTTGAAGTGGCATCTGAGGTGGTGTTTAGGAGCAAGGCAGACATTAAAGACTGGCTGTGGGATGTGGCAGAGCTGCTCATGTCCCTCATGTCCTAGCTGTCCCCACTGTCCTCGCTGTCCTTTTTGTCCCCACTGTCCCTGATGTCTGTGCCGTTGTCTGCAGCGTTGCCAGCACTGTCAAACACGCCCTGTCCATCTGGCTCAGCATCATCGTCTTTGGGAACAAGATCACCAGCCTGTCAGCCGTGGGCACTGTCCTGGTCACCATGGGGGTCCTGCTCTACAACAAGGCCAAGCAGCACCAGCAGGAGACCCTGCACAGCCTGGTCATAGCCCCACAGTCCCTGCCAGGGCCCACTGAGGACACCGAGCCTCTGATCTCCAAGGATTTGGAACCCTATGATTAATGTGGCTCATTATCCTGCCAACCAAGAGAGGGTCCAAGGAAATCCTTCTGGATGTGGTTTTTCCTTTGATTCCTTTGAGTTCCTGGCAAGTCTTGCCCAGGACTTGAAGCAGGAAGGAGCTGGGAAGAATCCAAGAAAGCCTTGGGAATCTTATGCCCCAAAGAGAGGACCTGGAATGTAAATGTGGATTTTGTTGTCTTTTCTCGACTGGAAATCATGTCCAAGCTTGTGTTAGTGAAAGAATTTTGGTGTCTTGTGGGAAAACAATTCCTGTCTCCCTCCCCATCCAAATAATGTGAAAATGTGGCCCCACACTGAATTCTGCTGGCAGAGGGATGGAATTGGTGCCTCGTGGAAATTCCCAGTTGTTGCTCTGTATTTCCTGCATCCTCTGTCATTCCTGTGTGGTGTAGAGATGGAAGAGGTCCAAGGCAGGGATCTTCCCACTCTGCTCTGCTCTGGGGTGGCCTCAAGGATCTCAAGCCCTAAGGAATTTTTGGGCCCCCGAAACCTGCCAGAGCTCTGGGAGCATTTGGACAGCACAAGATGGGATTTTGGGGTGTCTGTGCAGGGCAGGAGTTGGACTGGATGATCCTTGTGAGTCCCCTCCAACTCAGGATATTCCATCATTCTAAGAGGGATTAGAATTCCCACCTTTCTCTCCCAAAAAACCAACTTTTTAGGTTTGGTTGAAGCAAACTATGGGTAATGAGCTCTGGTGAGCACCAACTGCTGACTACAAATCCAGGATTTGTAGAGGTTTTCCTCCTAAATTGTAACGTGGGAATATCACATTCCAATGGTTTACTGACAAAACTGACATGCAAGTGTTCACACACATACCCTTTGTAAATGGAGTGTTGAATTCAATACTTGTAGTTGCTTAGAGGTAAAAAAACACCTGAAAATTGTGGTGAGAAAAGAAGCAGAATATCTGTATTTCTATAAGAAACCATTTTGTTGTTTTAATTTCATTTTCATGAGGAAAGAAATTTATGGGGTATTTTATATTATTTCTAAGAGTGCAGCAAAAGGCTGCCTTTTAGAAACTCAGGGTTATGAGTCTGACCTGCATGTAAAATATCTAATTTCTCATTATGTAAAGAAATCTCAGAGGCATCTGTGACAGATGGAAGGGAGGAATATTAACCATAAACTGAGGCAAATCTTTATTTCTGCTGCTTGTAAGTTTCTTTTTTTTTAAAGGACATTTGTTTTTGTGGTAGATCAAAGGTTAAAAGTTAACTTTCCTTTTCAAAATTCTGAAGAACAGACATTTTTTTTTGGCAAAAAAAGCGCACATGTAGCTACAAAAACATTCACATGGGCTTTTTGGAAACAAAACTTAAGTTAAAATGAGTGGATTTTAATAATTGCCACCCTTCTGGGAGGTTGGAGCATGGATATATAGTGGGTCTTTATGCTATAAATAATGGCTAACAGGAAGTTACCAGTGGAATTCCTGTAAAATTACATTTACACTTGTGATTACATTTCCACACCTAAGTGGCTGCCTGGGGCAGATTCCCCAAAGATCTGTGGAAAGGAAATACCAATTTTAGCATTCTTGTGTATGTGACACATCTGTGGTATTTCATTTTCTTTTGTATTCCAGTCACTTTTATAAAAGCTATGGACTGTGGCGTGCTGCTCTGTGGGATTTTTTGTTTGTTTTCTGCCAAATACACTGAGATTTTTCTTAAAGTACAACTACAAAAAAAAAAAAAAAAAGTGGGGTTTGTGTCATATTTCTGCTTTAGGTGACAGAAATCCCAGCTCTGCTCTCACATAAATCCCACCATCAGCTGCTTCATTTTAAAGCCCAGCAGGTTTTTGCTTTTCTGTGACCTAAACAGAGCTCTGGGAGGATTTGGGAATGGGATTTGAACCCCTGGAGAAGCTCATGGGTGGCAGCACAACCCTCCTCTTCTGTTGGGCTTTGTTCCAGTGTTGATTTTGTGTATTTTGCTTTGCCCTCTCTATGGCCTTTGCTTTCCTTAGATTAAACAAACTAACCTCTTGGCTCTCCACTTGTAAAACCTTTTTATTTTCCAGTCAGAGCAGTAAATCTTCTTTTCTCTTGTGTAAACAAGATTTTTGCTCTTTGTTAAGAATTTTCAAGGGTGTCACACCCCAGCTCTTTCTATGGTATGATAGAAGCAGTGCTGCCCAGAAAATTTGGGGGAACATGGGAACACTTTAGAGTTTCTTTCATTGCATTTCTTGCTGCCACACCCAAGTACTGGTGATGAGGACGAGCTCTGTGAGCTGGAGCTGTGCAGATTATTTATTTTACATTTTTCAATAGAGCACATATTCCTTAACTGTGAATTCCTGATGCACTGAGGTGTAAGGTGTTACAGCACTCCCTGTGCTTCTAAATTATCATTATTTCCCATTATATGGCCTATTATATGACATTATATTGTCATATTTCCAGTGGAGGATAATTAGGGATCAGTGTATTTTAGGGATTGTTATTAGGGATCTTTGCTGTTCTGGGCCGTGCCCAGTCTGTTATAAATGAAATTAGAATTTTGACAACTAGGTCCCTTGGGTTAATGGCAGTTTATTTAAAAATTAATACAATTTAGTAAATTGAATAGTAATTTGGTATAAAATAATACAGTTTAGTAAAAGCATATTATTTAGCAAAAAATTACAATTTATATATATAATCTGCCAGTAATTAAGTATGATTAAAGCATAAGCAAAACCGACCGGGGTATGGAGGGGGTTCCTCACTCAGCCTCATGTACAAAACTGACCAGGGTATGGAGAGGGTTTCTCACCCTGCCTCACATACCAAACAAAGCACTTCAAACTAAACTTACATACTGTATGCTTATACATATTCATTAATATTTCCCGTAAGTTTCCTCCTATTTACGATTTTTCTGACTTTATGTCACTTTTCTTCACATTGCATGCCTCACTTCTTGTTAGGGGGTCTTCAGTCTTCTTTTGGGGGGGGGGGGGGTTCTTTTGGCAAAGGCTTCTCCTCTTCCTTGTTGTCCTTTGGATAATCTTAAAGGTTTGCATGTGCATACTAAATGTAGTGTTATGTAAGTCTACTAATTAGTCTTACATTTACTGATTTTTAGGCCCAGTGCCTAAAGTCATTCTAATTTTGTCCATCTCAAGGCCGTTTTTGTCTTGGGACATCACTTATCTTCCAAACTATTTTAACATGTAACATCTGTAAAGGGGTACATCTGCCTTGTAACACTGATTCTTTGGTTTCTTCTAATAATAACTTCCCAAATAGTTACAATTTAGTTAGCACGAATCAATTCCATTTATTACAAGTCACTATGTGGCCTCTGTCACCTCCTCCCTGCACACTCACTTATTTCCATTTAGGAACTGCGGCTTTTGGTTGGAATCGCGCTTTATTCAAACTCCACGATTTTATGTGTAATAAAAGGCGGCCCTGTGGTACCAACGCCTCCATTCCCACCCTATCAGCTGTTCGCTTTATTTCGGTTTATTGCTGAACACGCACAGCCTGGAGGTTCATTAATGCCCCTCTGGCTGGCGGGGGGTTCGGTTGAGGGACAGCTCAATTAACAACTCATTAACGACTTGCGTTAATTACCGCGCCGTGAGTAGGTGCTGACGTAAGCGGCGCGCGGCGGCGGGCGGAAGTGACGTGTGAGTCGCGCGCTGCTGCTCGCAGTCTCCGGTGGCAGCGGCGGTGAGCGGGGCGGGGGGGGCGCGGAGGCTCTGAGGGGATACTGAGGGGACACTGGGGGGCTCCGTGGGGCTCTCGGGGTTGTGGGGGAAGCCCAGTGCTGAGGGCGTGCGGCGGAGCGGCCGCGCTGGCGGGTCTGTGGCCGGCAGCGCTCCGTGAGGGCCGCGGAGCTGTTTGGCCCCGCCGGGGCTGCGCGGGGCGTGGGCGGTGTTGGCTGCCAAAATGGGCTTCGTTCCGCGGTGTGCGGCAAGCCGGGAGTGACACACGAGAGGGAGACAGCGATGAGTTAGCTCAGAGTTGGGTGCTCTGGGTATTCCGCAAGTCAAACCCCCAGTTCTCATATTTTTGCTGTTTATACATTTCAGTAAAGCAAGGAATTTGTGCTCATTGGCTATAAGTGACGTAGTTCTCTTGTGACTCAATATTCCTCCTTCTGTCTATTAGCTATCTCGTGCTAATTAGTACTGTGCTCAGTCTCTCGTTTCTTCAGTCAGTGGTCGTGCTGGAATTACCTTTTCCTTAGTGACAGCTGATTCTAGCACGGTTGCTGAATTGACTTCGTTGTTTTTATCCTTATCTCAGGAGTTCTGCCTGTTCTCCTATAAATTCTGCATTCCTTGTGTCCTTTTTTCCCAAGCTTTGTTAACTCCCCCGAGGTCTCAGGTCATCATTAAATGTGTGGCACCAAACCTTGGCCACAAACTGTTTTGTGTGCTTTGCAGCAGCTCCCTGAGTTCCTAGCAGAGTCTTTCCTTTGGGTTTAAAACAGACATTTTTGGTTCACCATAAATTAACTCCAGCTTAACTTTACTCAAAAATAAAACAGTGTTTGCACTGAAAAAAATGTGTGTAAACCAGATTTACTTGTTGCGTTTGTCAACATCTTTTACAGAGGGTGTTTTTTTAACTCAAATGGGTGATGAAAAGGATTCTTGGAAAGTGAAGACTTTAGATGAGATTCTCCAAGAGAAGAAGCGAAGGAAGGAACAAGAGGAGAAGGCAGAGATCAAACGTATGAAAAATGTAAGCTGGCCTTTGGGATTCATTTTAATTAATTATTTACTTTATTAGTAGAAAAGTGCATTTTAATGATTTTCCGGAGATTTTTCTGATTTTCTCATGACCTGACAGCTGAATTATTTTCTGTGTGGTCCCTAATTCCAGGGTTTAACAAAAGTATAATGCTTTGTGAAGATTTCATTGGTCTTGCATTATATAATATGCTTTGTTATAGTTATTGGTCAGAAAATGTAAATTAATTAACTGGGACTTGCAGTTCAAGGAACAACTTAACGATTTTATGGAAGAATGGGTTAAAATCATCGACTTGGAATCACTTTTATGTTGCTGTTTGGTTTTGTGCAGCTGTGTACGAAATAATTATTGCAGGAAAAAACACACAATACGGCAATTCTCCTGAGTATTTAATTATGTCAAATTAATGCACTTCAGCTATAATTGCAGTCAAAGTGCTGCTGTCATAAATCAGTGGATTTTACAGGGGTGACTAGTCCAGGCTGAATTTTTGAGCCAGCAATAGAAGACTTCAGTAATATTTAATTTTTTTCATTTTGAGCCATACAAGTAAATGGAATTTTCCCCTCTCCTGTGATTCCCTCAGTCAGATGACAGGGATTCCAAGAGGGATTCTCTTGAAGAGGGGGAGCTGAGAGACCACCGCATGGAAATCACCATCAGGAACTCACCTTACAGGAGGGAAGACTCCATGGAAGACAGGTAAGAATGAGAAAATAAAAATAGAAACAGTTAATGGAATTAACCTTTCAACATCTTGAGAAGAGGGTTTCAAATATCTGAAGGGAAAATCTAATTTTTTAGTGACCAGAAGTGGAAATCCTTTTTATAGAATACATCAGGTTACTTTTTGAAGCACTGGTGAAGATTTCACAGAGTTGTGTTTCAGTTTTGATTTAGGGTTATTGTGGAAATTCAATATAAAATGGGCATCTTTTCAAAACAATCTGGATTTCCCCTGTCAGCTCCCTGAGTTTATTCCTGTCCTGCCTTCCAGGGGAGAAGAAGATGATTCCTTGGCTATCAAACCACCCCAGCAAATGTCCCGGAAAGAAAAAACCCACCACAGGAAAGATGAAAAGAGGAAAGAGAAACGCAGGCACCGGAGTCATTCTGCAGAAGGTGCTTCTTGCCATTCTTGGAAGCTTCTGGTTTCTGGGAGTAGAGTAAATAAAAATAACTCAGACTAAAGGAAACAGCAGGTGGATAAGACAGAGGAATTTAAACTTTTATTATTTCTTTGGCTGTTTAGTGTGTTTAGTGCCCTTATGGGAATACCAGAGGTGTGAACATGGTTGAGAAGACAGAAATCTCTCTGGGACAGGGACACTGAGGTCACTTTTACTCCTTGAAGCCTGATAAGATTCTCGTTTCACTGAGTGAAAGACCTCTGATCTTTGTACCTGCCAAAGAAAAAAATATCCATTCTAGAGACATTCCTACTGTCTTCCTGTCAATAACAACCATTTTTTACTTTAATACAAATATTAATGCAAGATCTTACAGACTTCAAACTTTCCAGCTCCTTTCAGAACAGGATTTGCCTTTTTAAGAAAACAACAGAGGTCATGGCAATAGGTTCCCATCAGTTTCACCCTCTTTAAGTTCTGTTTTTGGTGAATATTTTGAGCAGTAACACTCAGAAATTGAATTCTGTTTGTTCAAGGGAAACATGCCAGAGTGAAGGAGAAGGAGCGGGAGCATGAGCGTAGGAAGAGACATAGAGAAGAGCAGGATAAAGCCCGGCGTGAATGGGAGAGACAGAAACGGAGAGAGATGGCAAGGGAGCATTCCAGGAGGGAGAGGTACATCCATCCCTCCCTCCCCTGGGGAGGGAGATCAGCAGCTGCCTCCTCTGAGCATTTGTTGTTGTGAAATAACCAAAAAAATCCACAGTGAAAACTTGTCTGTGTTTCTGGGAATATGTTGTCTGACGGACTGTGTTCTTCTCATTAATTATTTTTAAGTGC